CGCACGTCCCACTAAAACGAAAGCGCAGCAGATTCTTCGAACAAACCTTAGTACATACAGGGATTCAAAAGCGAAACGCGTCTATGATTAACCAGTGCAACTGAGATGCAAAATGCTGCAGTCTATGAATTCACTTATGATGCTAAACTGTCGCTGCGTCTCAGGCTTAGTCACAGTCGTAGAGTAGCAACGAATATGCGCTCTTATACAAAAGAATAAATATAAAACTGGCCAGCATTTATGCTGCAAAAAGAAAAATCAATGCAAAAGTCTCACATCTAACACACCAAAGGAAGGAATGGTATAAATACACAAATGTTAATTCAGCATACCCTCAAATACAAGCAACGAGCACACACAAACGCATATAGACAGAAAAAAGATTCCTCAGAAGCAGCGAAGTACGGCATACAGAAATTATTCAGTAGGCCAAAAAACACTGAAGATAGGACATCAACTGACAGTCGAGAATACCGAGGTAATTGTTTTTGGTATACAGGCCTTGTGAAAAATGAATTTTCGTCGTTTTTCGAACGCTACGCTATTCGACTCATCATGGGACGTGGTCTTGCATTCATATACCGGAAAATTTCAAGTACAGTAGAACCGTTGTCTATTGAACAGACTGCTAGACAATTAAACAACCAGAGGCAAGAAAATGGCGCACCTACGGAGTGCAAGTCTAGTTACGTGACGTGAAGTTGTTTTTGTCGGTGGCATCGAAAATCACTGTTGTAGCAGATGATCCAAAAACACTAAGATCAGTATTTTCTAGACAGTTAATGAGTAATATCACATACAATTAAATGGTCAACTATTAAACAGATGTTTAAACATTTATATACAATAATTATTTATCACAGATTATAATTGATATGGTATTTTACAACATAAATGAAGGATTGTGAACATGCACTGTAGACAGTAATTCCAAACGAAAGGTAACTGAGCCACATACGCATCTGTTGACATTTGCCTCAAAGGTTAAAAACGCTAAATTTCATATCTGTATTACTGATGAGTCAAATATAACTAGTACTGTAACTTATAAAGGAAATCAGTTATGAATGCTATAACTACAGCGAACCTGACAGTCCACACATCAGTTCTGAAAGGCAAATAGAATACAACAAGGGCGTGGTACCTACTTCGGATGGCTGTCGAACTGGTTGAAGCGAATTTTGCAGAGTTCCGCCTCGTCAAAAAGATCAGGTGCTAATTTGGCAGAATACCGACCATTCTTCGAAACACTTTGCAAGTCTTTCGGAAGCTTGCCAATGTTTTCAACGTCGCCACTTCCAACCGAGCGATAATCCACTTCGTCGTCGACTAGATTATCAGCTGTAAATAAAATAAAGTTGTTCAACGCAGAGCTCGCTTCGCCGCAGAACGACGAAGTTGGATTAACAAAGACAACGCTGTTCGCTTCTGAGCAATTGCAGTTGAGTAATTCTGCGCCAGTACAATCAAGATCACTGATCACTGATCAAAACTGTAAACCTCTATGTGATCATTCGCTAAAGTTTATCAGCACTTATTACCGGCAGGGATGTAAAGTCATGTCGCAAGGACTTAATATTAGACTAGGAAGAGACGTCAGCAACACTTTCGAGCAACAGCACTAGATAATCACAGACATAATTTGAAAAATAATCTATGAGAGACAGGCTTAAACGCTGTATAACTGAGATAAACCGATATACTACATTGTGATGCATATCCCCTTTTACAAACTTTGTAGTTTTGCCGTATGTGCACAAAGATGGAGGAGAATTATCACCATAAAAGGAAATAATTACTTGAACATCATAGATTGTTGCCAACATTAGTGAGCCTGACTTAGATGAAACCCGCCTCACATTCGAATCAAACATTATTACTTATTATGTAACGCATAACTCGTCCAATACCAATTTTCAGCAGTGACACTACCCACTTGCTCGTAATTACTTGGGAGGCTCATTTAAGAAGTCAACGGTTCGATAATATTTGAGTACCTCATGTTATTTTGTCCGCTGGAGAAACCTCGTTTTTCACTGCTATCTATTGTGGAAAATACCGTATTCTTCATTGAAGTATGTATCTCCTAAATGTTTCACAAGTTGCATTGTTATCGAGCAAATTTGTATCAACCGAGTAGAAAAACTAAATTAAAACAGAGCACCCGCGACACGTATTGACTGGCAGGAAGTATGAACTAAATCAGATCTAATTCAAAGCTATGCACAAAGAAAAGTTAGTTTTGGTAGAGGTACTTCCAGAAAAGGAGCTTACTGTCATCTGCACCCGAATCCAGGAGTAATTTTCGATCGTCTTGACCGCAGGTGACGTTCGTATCGTATAAGTATTTAAGAATAAGCCACGTGTAACCAACCTAAATACGCATATTTTTTTATGTAGATTAATTTTTTATTCAGAAAATAATAGCTCTATAATAACATTAACGAGTGTAGTTCATTCATGCCATTAAATCACAATCTTCAATTCATCTACTCATCTATCCATTTGTTTTTTCGCTTAACGGTACTCATTAGCAT